ATTTCATATCTACAAAATGTTTTAATTATTTATAAGAATCTAAAAGTAAAGAACTTTTAGAAGATTGTTAGTATTTTTTATCTTTATTTTGTTTAAGTTTTTGTAATTAGGTTATATTTTATTCAGATTTTGTGTAAAATTTCTGTATCATATGTTTGAATGTGTTTTTAAGATATAGCTTACTCATTTACAAATTTCAAACTATTTTGTTTTGGCATGTTAATGAAGTTAAACATTTTGTGATTTTTAATAAATATGCTTTTTATCTAAGACAATTTATTTTTGTTTAGGCAGGAAAAATTTTGTTGACATACCAGGACTGGAAGCCAAGAATTGGGCGATGGCTTATTTGGGGCACAATTATAGTTAGCATACCCTTTGTTTTTATTTGTAATAAGAGTATTACATATAGTTTTTGTAATGATGTGGAAAATGGTGTTTAATAACTGTACCTACCTGAATAGCATATCATAATAGTTATTAGTATTATTATAGGTAGTTGTCACTTATAGGTAGTTGGCTTATTTGGGGCACAATTATAGTTAGCATACCCTTTGTTTATTTGTAATAAGAGTATTACATATAGTTTTAGTAATGATGTGGAAAATGGTGTTTAATAACTGTACCTACCTGAATAGCATATCATAATAGTTATTAGTATTATTATAGGTAGTTGTCACATACATTAAATCAGTAATTATGGCACTCATATATAACTAGTTCACATATACTTCATTAGAAGTAACTGTTAAAATGAATAATCCAAACCCTACCTTTATCATATATACTTGAATTTGTAACATAGGTTGTGAACTAGCTTTCTTGATATCTGAAGGAAAATTATATTTTTATACAATATCGGTTAAAAGTTCATTGTATAAATACTGATATTCAATACTTACTTTTTACATACTTCACTGTTTTTTATATGTTTCCAGTTGAATCCTCTGGCATACACAGAGACAAGTTTTGGGCTTCTTACAACCCAATAGAATGAAATATTTTAAAATGTGTGCTAAATTTTTTTTTTTAAGAATGTTGCTAATCACATCTACAATTTTTAGAAAAACTTAGTTTTTTCCAGTATTTACCTTTTTTTTTAAGCCTTGGAAGTTAGAAACAGTGCTCTGACTTTGGATGTTTTTTTATCTGTAGTCTATAAACAGTCACAAAATGTTCAAGTAATTAGTTGAGTGGTTCAAATAAAATGTGTTTCCATGTTAAATAATCAATTTTTTTAACATAAATAAAAAGGTTTAGACATAAAAATTGTTAGTACCAAATACACAAAAATACCTATATCATTCACATATATGTGCATATTTTCCAGTTCAAAAGAGATAAACACCTGCATTGGTAATAAAACAAAGCATGGGTGGGAGATAATTCTCACCATAAACTGATTGAGTGATGCATCAAATTCTACAGATAGTTTTCATTCTATTTCTATATGGAGGCCTACTGTATCTCTTTGGTTTGCTCTCCCAAGTGGTCCTGAAGAGCCATGATTCGGCAAAATTATATTTCATTGCATAGGAGTAGTCAATAGAATAATAGATTAGGCCTCTTCTTCATTCATAGATGCTTTCTTTCCTTCACTGAAATAACAAGTTTTAGTAAAGAAAAGAAAAATGCATAAATGAGTTATACAGTGAGTACTGACCAGCAATTACCTGTAGTCTGGGGTTACTGTTGAATTGAAAATTATATCAGTTTAATTTTATAAAACAAAACAAAAAAACTAACTGTATTTGCCTTGGATGGTTCTTAATAGGACATTAATACAGAAATAAAAAGAGCAAAACAGCGACAAAACGTCAGGTATCGGAAATCACTGAAATGTGAAGATACTGTCACGACAGCGGTAGTCACGTGATGCTGGTAACACGTCATGATATTTTAGAAGGATCGGGGAACATCACGAATAATCCAGTATGTGCTAGGCACCCTCTATTCCTGTATATAAGTGCGCCGGATAACGTGAGACAAATCAAATGGAATTGAATTGCAGACAGAGATAGAGACGACAATTGAGTCAAGCGCATGAATCGTTCGTTGTGAATTATAGCGTTTGTTTAAGTTGTAGCGTGACTGTGGAAATTAAGTGTATTGCAAAGTTGTATTGAGAAAGATTAAACTAGTTTTATTTAAGAAAGGACTTGTATTGCTAAAGTTTCTTTGGAAATAATTTTTACGGAAAATTAACAAACGAACACAGAGGTGTAACAATACACAAGTTTTCAGCACTGCATTTTTATTTTAAGATTGCAGTTCATTTGAAGGAGTAAAATACTAATTATGTAAAGAGCTTATTAGAGTACTGTAGTTGCATTTATTTGAAAAGAGCCAACATAATTCAAAATGTCACTTTTTTTTTGTCTGTTATTGGGCTAAACAAAGATTTTTATTGTCTATATATCTACCAACCCATAACTTATTAATATACAATAACTGCAATTAATTTTTCTGTATTTATCACACTAGGGATTGATTGCCATCATATTGAGTAAGGCCAGCATAAATGATGGGTGGATACCAATCAATAAAAACCTCTGGTCTATTTCATTCATCTTTGCAACAGGAGCAATGGGTTTTTATTTGCTGTCGATCTGCTACTTCATAATAGATGTAAAGAAATGGTGGACTGGGGCACCATTCTTCTTCTCTGGTAAGTACAATAACTTAGAGTTATAAAGATTATAAACATTATTTTCTTATATTTGTAATTATAAGTTCTAGATTTAATTTTATATAAGTACATGTAAATGAATTATGCACAGCATATTCTCCATTCTTTAATTTTTCATGCCTTCTATAAATTTTTGTGATATTTGTGATATATTTTAAGATATTTTTATTTTAAATACAACACAAAATCTATCAGATTTTTTCAAGTTATTGAACGTAATATTTAACAACAGAAACCAAACTTTATAAGATAAGCTTATCAGTAATTGTTATAGGTTTTGTTTTCATATTGTGATGATCTTGCACATCTCTCACCAGTAAGTAAAATGCATCTTGTGCTCTGTTCTTTCTAAGCATCAAATTACCTTAATGATTAATAATCAATACATTTCTTCTCTTCTAAACTATTATAAAACAGCATATTGTATTTTTCTTCTTGCAGTTGAAGACACAAAACTGCTATTCACACATGATGCATGAAATATTTCAGAACAATGTAATGATAGGCCTTGCATTCCCCAACCAGAGGCACTAACTAGACCTGCCACCTGCGGGTGTTTCCATTTATTTACAAAATTTATGAATTGCATTCAGTGTGAACAAAATATCAATTTTCATAATCTATTTTAACACTAATTTAAACTAGATACATACAATAATACTTTTATAACTATTATTAATAAGATAATACAAATATGCACTCAAGTGAATGTTGTAAGTGTGATATGCAATTTTATATAATTAAAATGACAGGAGCTCTTGAGGTGAAAGTGAGCATGTACAAGTATAGCTAGTTATGTAAGAGAAAATGTTAGGTATATAAGAGTCCTCATAATATGTTATTCTTTGTCACTCTTTTACAATTTTTTTGGATATTAGTTATTAATTTTATTAGCTTTATCGATGTAATGATAATAAATAAATTTATTTCCCCTTTAATATTTCAACTACAAGCTTGAAAACTTGTACACTGCCATAAATTGTTGTAGGCCTACTTTACAAATGACATTAACTAATATAAAACAAATCAACTCACTTGTATAAAATAACTCAGTAAGTGTGATAGCAAACATGGATCCAAATACTTTATGAAAACACACTGATTCAACTGTATCTTCAAAATAAAACTCTCTATACACTACACAATTATCTCATATTTATAACAGCTTTGAACATACCAGAAAAAAACTTGACTTTACATCTTTAAAACTTTCTAGGTGTTCGAGGCCTATCTTATTAAACCTTTTGATCTAAATATCATTAAGCTCCTTCTAGCTAATATTTAAATTATAACATTAAAGATATAACTTACAACACTATTAATATAAAAAGAACATTAATTAAAAACAGTTTATAAAAAGCTAAAAAAAACAATTTTTTTCTGAAAGAGAACTTCCTGCTTCTTTTTTTTTCTCTACCAATTGTTAGCAATTTGACCCACTTATTTACAGGGATTACTCCATCATTTGTATCACTGTGGTATTCCTGTATATAAAATTCAACTAAAGTAATATCTTTATTTATGCACAATAATTGAATTCACCACATATTTTAATATTCACTACAGATACAGTATATATTTACTTTTCACTTATCAGTCAACAAGTATCTGTTGTCTTGAGATATTCATATCAAAGTTCAGTTTAGTTGTTAAACATTACAATAATAAACTCAAAACAAAAGGTGAAGAATACTTCTGTGTGTACAAAGTTACAGTACTTTTTTTATATCTGATTCCTACTTTATTTTATGGCAGTATAATTATTCTTTTCATAATTTTTGTTAATTATTTTGAAGCACAGTTTAGTTAATAAAAAATTATTGGTTTTTTTACCTAGCTCAAGTACTTTAAGTTTTTCTTTGTACAAGTTAAAATTGTACTATTGCCACCCAGTGCAAATGGTATCTAACTGTAATTATTTTGACATGATATGAACATTTTCCTTAGTAATATTACTTTGGTACTCTAGAAGAATTTCAGTGAGCTTTGACAAAGTAATATATCATTAATCAATTAACTAATTGTCGAAAATGATATAATTAGAACAAAATCAGTCGTAAAAACGATGTAATGGTTTGTTCATTTTCTTAAATTTTTCATCAGACAGTTTTCATTGAGATATTTTAAAGAAAAGACAGAATTTCTATACCACAGAGGGGAAATTTTTTTTGCCCAGCTCAATTGGGGAATGTGTCTAATCAATCTCTAAGAATATGTTAGCATAATAAATACATTTAAAATTTTGTCAGTAGCTGTTATTTTTTCTCTGTAATGCTAGTAAAAATCAGTTGTGTTAAAATAGAATGCCTGTTGTAATAATGATTTTAAGTGAAAGTACAGTCTTAGTAAGATAGGTAATATCTTATAGTATCTTCAGCATAAACAATGCTTGTGTATTTTAATTCCCTTTTTTTGTTTTGAAATTGACTAACAGCTACTTCATCCTCTATCCTGAAAAATTGATATGGTCAGGTTACTGGTTAAATACAAAAAATCACTTTTACAGCCACATATTACCAAATTCGAATTAGGTAATGTATGAGTGAATACAGGCATGATTGAAGTTCTATAGTTGATTCTTACTGCCTGTATAACGTATAGTTATCATTTAACTTAGAAATAAAATAGACAAAATTTGTCTAATCTATTGGGTAAAAATTTATCTTTAGCACAAAGTTTTTATCTGAAACTTTTCTGTTAGGAATAAAAGACTTCCTCTATATGCAGGAATGAATTCCATCTTAATATATGTTGGCCATTCTCTGACCAGTGAGCTGTTTCCATGGACATGGCATGTAGGACAGACACATTGGGAGCACTTGGCAGTAGACTTGTGGGGAGTGACACTGTGGGTGATCATTTCCATCTGGCTTTACTATAAAAAATTATTTTTAGCAGTGTGATCAGTCAGTTTCACTGTAGCTGAAAGAGACTTCAGATTTTTTTATCCAAGATTTTCATGTGTAATATAATAATGGGGTACTTTAGTATTGTTCATTAAGTTGGTTATGAAATTTTTTTAAGCATCATAGGTTGGGTTTATCTAAAATGAATTTTGTTGTTTTGTTTGTTTTTGTTGTTTTGTACCACTTTTACCTGTCTGATGATTCAGAAATGATTTTTATTATTCTAACAGCATAACAGCAGTCTTTTGTTTCAACAATCATGCCAGCAAAGATACCAGAAAATTATTTCCTGCTTTTTAGTAAATACTGGTGTGTTTTCTTTTTCAATATAGATTACTCAAGAAGGCTTCACTAATGCTTGCTATACAAGAAAAATATGTAACTAAAGAACCTATGGATCTATGACCCACATTTACAGGGATGCTATAATGCAAATTTAATGCTTGAACTACTATTTTGCAATTTTTCAGTTTCATAATCATTGCTGCTATAATGCAAATTTGATTTTTTTTTAACAAATTTATGAATGGTAATTAGTAGACCTACTTATTCACGTGCTCTAATGTAAAACAATGCCAAATTTGGGGCCCACTTTCAGGAAATCCCTGTAAAAGTGTTTTCATGAAATACCTGATTTCCCTAAGGTGTTAAGTGGAAAGTTTTACCTTTTGCAAACCTTGGGGCAGAGATGATTCGTTTGGCACCATTTGGTGAAACCATGGGTGTATGGTTCACATTTACAGGGCTTCTATAATGCAAATTAATGCTTAAACTACTAAGAGGTTAGGTGAAAAGTTTTACCTTTGTGCAAACATCATGGTCAAGATGAGTTGTTTGTCATCACTTAGAAATTAGTGAATCCAGCAGTTTAAGAGAAGGTTTTTTTTGGAAACTCCCAAGTTCCCCAAGGTGTTGAGTGAAAAATTTTGTGCTAATCTCAGGACCAAGACAATTTGTTTGGTAGCACTTAAATGTTGGTGCGACCAGCAGTTTAGGAGGAGTTATGTGATGCGCAGACACTGAATCTTATTACATAGATATTTATTATTGGATCTGAGAAACAACATCTAGAATGTGTATTTTTTAGTTTAGTTACTAGAAAAGACAACAACATAATATTTACAAGAAAGTCAATTAAATTAATATTCTTGAGGGTGATGAAAAAAAGTGAATACTAAATTAAATTTCATTTGCCATACATTATTTCAATTCACAAAAAGTAAATATGTTAATTATTTATGTTTTCAGTTATTAATAATAACCATTACCAATCTCAGTTTTTTAAACCAAAAACATAAGCATAATTTTGTATCATGAAAAGTTGCTCATTTGCTTCTGATTAGATGAAAAATTACTATTTTTACATGACCTGTATTTCTTATATTGAGTATTTAATAATGAAGTACATAAAGTTAAATACATTAATATATATATATTTTAATTCTTTGTACATAAGCAATATGCAACATTTATTTCACTGAGACAAGTTTAGTAACATTCTGTGTTATGGATGCTGGTTAATTTATCAGTTAGCAGGCAATAATATTCAGAATTTTATTAATTAGAATACTTTAAGGAAATTGTGTGAAGGATTTTTTCGTGTGATTAAAAAAAAAGAGGTATAAAATGGTAGCTGTTTTTAGGCTGAAATGATAAAGAATAAAAATATAAAGCAATGCTAAATCAAATGTCTAAATGTTTATCAATAATTTACATAATAAAGCATTTAACAGATTAGCTAAATCATAATATGTAGACTCAGTACTAGTTATAACCTTATTTAAAGTGGATATTAATTCTTTTTTTTTAATTTTTCTTTGACCACAAAACTAAAATTATATTAAGGGTTATTGCTTACTTCATTGCACTTTAAGTTATATGTTGTAGTTTTGATAAAATATAAGGCTAGATGTTACATTACTAACTTTTTATACATTCTGTATGGCAAGTAGGTCGTAATTTTCACTTGCCCTCCATATCCTTGTTTTTTAGATTAAAATTTTATAATAAAAGCAATATTTCTGCTACTGCCTTAATATTTTGGTATTCAAAACAGAATGGCACATTCTACGACACAAGCTAAACAGCTGTAAGAGACTTCAAGGTTCCTGCATAGTACACTCCTTAATATAGAAGTGCTGACCAAAGAAAGGATAACCAAGCAGCTGCATCTTCCGCTTAAGTACATACTCTTAACTTAACCGTGGGGACTTTCATAGTTATAACCAAGTGTGTAGTGCTCCCGGAGTGCTCTGGTACTTCAAATCCAGAAATGTAAATTAGATTTTGAATATCAGTTCTTTATTCTTAATTTTAGCAGGACTATAAAATTTAACACCACACCACTGATTATAACCATACCACACCTGACGAAAGTACTAACTGTATTCAGCAGCTTATTGTGGTCAACGTATTTGTCTTAAATAAAGAACTTAAAAGAATATTTTCTTGTGAAAAAGACAAAAATAAACAAAGCAAACAGAAAATTGCTGTGATGCATTTAGCTAGAACTAACATTACAATCATTTAATGAATCATATGAAAACTAAATTATTTTCCACAATCACAATTACCTGTCTATGAAACATCTGATAATCACAATTTACTCAATATTGTTAAACGTTGATCAGAACGGCACATCGGTAAAATAAAACATTTCATTAGAAAGCTGCTAGTATACAATTTTGGACAATGCACAAACAGACTGACCCAATAAAATACACAGGACAGAAAATTGTTACTTTAGTTTGAGCTCTTTGCTGACGTTTTATGCCAGTTTTTACTAAGTATTTCCTGGCTTTAAATGATTTAAGCTAGGATTTTGCTTAGTTTAATCTTGGTCCTCTTACACTTGGTTGAGTAATGTCCAAATAAATGGATATATGAAAGTTGGGGGGGGGGAACAAAGTCCTCCCTACAGAAGCTGAAGTATTTTTGAAATTGAAAATCTCTCTTGGGCCAGTTCCTGACACTTGATCCGTTACTGTATCATATTACATAGGTAACAAATATTAATAATGTGATTACAGTTGATGGGAATACTTCATTAATAAGGAATATATTTGCATTTCTTATGGCTAATATTCTCTTATTACATTTGAGAAAAAACATGTTATGCTCCAAAAATGTATTATAATCAAGAAACCAGTTTTACAGTTGTTATATATATATATATGAACATTGAAATAATTTTTTATCGTTTTCAAAACCAATGAAGAAACATTAACAATCTATATATATAGAAAAGGTTTTGTATATCAGTCACTTACTATCAAGAATCAGAATGTTCAATCATTTATGATTTTAAAAATTTTATACAACATGCTTTTGCATCACATTTTACTGAATTTAAATTGTATTGTAGTGGCTGCAGTTGTTAAGTGTGTTGATGGTGAATACACAGATAAACAGATAACTTGATATATTTTCCAAATCTACTTTTGTTACTTGTATAAAGGGGATAAATATTTGTAGCTGAAGTCTGGCTCTCCATCAACTTGGAGGAGCGCAACAAATAATTTGTACCAGAAAGTGTGGTGGTTAGCTTGGCTCTCTTAAGACTGGGTAGATCTTTATATTCTTACACTTCATTCTGGTGATTGGAAATAAATTAGACATGAATGTAGAGATCATATTTGACTATAGGTAGGGGATTTCACTTACAGAACGAAAGTAGTCATTGTTGGGCTCGGTTCTGGCCTTTGTATCCTTGAGATGGATGTGCTGTCAAGCTTATTGTCAGTTGTACCTGTGCAACTGTTGAACTGATGTTCTGTGGTAGTTATTTGATGTTAGCCAGACCGACCTCAGGAATAGTGTACTGCAAGAGTGTTTGAGAGAGAGGAAGATACAGTACCTTCATACATGTAATTGGTGATCCATGGTTCACTGTGGACATAGTTTAGAGTGTCATTGCCCATGCATCAAATAGGCTGTTATGAAATTTTGGATGATTGGTTAAACAGCTGCTAGAAACACAGTAAGTGAAGTGGAAGCAACCAATGATAGTGCATTCAAAAGTTAATACACAGTTACCACATATCTAAGATCACTAGTTGAGGATTGGGCAGACAATTTAGACCCAACACAACAGCAAGAACTCAGTGACTTGTTGGCAGAATATGCCGATGAATTTATGGGACCAGATGGCTGATTGGATCAAACAACAGGCACACAGCATCACATAGATACAGGCTTCCCTGGAACACTAGGTATGTAGCCAGCACTGAAGTATAGTGGATGTTAAAGGACCAGATCACACAACCTTCAGGGAGCACTTGGTCACCTCATGTAGTGGTTGTCATGAAGAAGGAAGGTACAGCTAGGTTTTTGCATTGATTCTAAATGAGTGAACACAGTAACTTGCATTGATGCCTTTCAATTACCATGAGCAGACGAATGTTTGTAAGTGATTGAAAAGGTCTTTTGGTTCAACACCTTAGACTTGGTATCCGGATAGTAGCTAGTTGAGCTGGTTAAATAGAGCATGCCTATGACTGCTTTCAGCACGAGAGATGACTTGCACAAGTTTTCATTATGTGATTCTTCAACAACATAATATCACAACCAAATCTGGAAACCCCATGAACAACTCCTAAATACGATAAAAGAACGCAGAAAATCACAAAAAATATATACGAATACACAAAACCCTGAACTAAAAACAAGACTAAATACACTCAGAAACAGTACAAGAAACGAAATAAAAAGACTAAAAGCTGATAATTAGGATGAATATTGCTCAAAACTTAACATACTCACAGACCAAAAAAGTTTCTGGTCTCACTTTAAAAGATTTACTGCAAACAATACAAACAGACACGTATATCCCACACTAAAATCCAATAACACCTTAGCCAACACAAACACACAAAAAGCAGAAATATTCAGAAAACACATGGAAAACACGTACAAAACACCAAACGAACCGACAACGAACACATATTTCTACAATAAAGTTAATAACTACATAACACAAACAAAACCTTATACACACCTACCTTCCCTGTAAGTCTCCGATAGGTCCAACAAGGAAGCACTCAAGATAACACAACGCAACAACTCATTAAACCAATAACAATACCAGATATACAAGATACTCTTAAAAAGACAAAAACATAAAAACAAACAAGGTTCCAGGACATGACAAAATACAATATATACTTATCAAAAAAGGTACACCAAAATTGTAGGACCAGGGATTCCCAATCTTTTTGTTCCTCTGTACCCCTTGGGCATTCTCTCCCAAAACACTAATGGAGGGAGGAGAGCTTGCTCAGTTGGTTGATCCCTAATTTATCAGCTGATTTGTAACGAGGGTGTTCTATATTGCTTATGTTCTACATAACTTATTGAAAACGTGAGTTATAATGTAGCACAGCAATAACATCACGACGTTCACCATGATCACAACTTTTTGTCTAAAGAGCGTATATTTATGTGAGCCACTTTGCTCTCTTTGTCTGACTGTAGATTAAAACACCATGTAAAGTGTAAAACATGGTTATACTCTCAGACCCCTATGTACCTCTGAGAAGTGCAAATGCACCCCTAGGGGTACATGTACCCCAGGTTGGGAATGTCTGATTTTGGCAGCTATATTTACTATATCCCTACAATCACGTTACATATCAACTGCTTGGAAGCTAGCGGACGTTTTTGAAAGAAGGTTGTTGTTTGTCATGAAGCACAAAGCTACACAAAGGGATATCTGTGCTCTGCCCACCACGGGTATCGAAACCCGGTTTCTAACAGTATAAGTTCGCAGACATACCGCTGTGCCACTGGGGTGCTTAGTAGGAAGAAAGCCAGCAAGTAAACCAAAAAACTAGAGACCAATCAGACCAGCTGTATTGGAAAACTACAAGAAAAAATCATCAGTTCAAGACTTTGGCCAATCTCGAACTGACATTAAAGTTACCTGAAATACAAAACAGATTCAGGAAAAAAGACAAACCACAGACCATCTGGTAAGATTCACAGAAACCATAGTAGACAGTTTAACCTAAATTAATACACTGTCGCTTGCTTTCTCGGTGTTGAGAAAGCATTCGGCACTGTATGGCACAACGTACTAAAATATCGAATGTCACAAAAGAAACTACCGCGAGGTATTATTCACTGGCTCTCCAACTTTCTAGACAACAGGAAAGCTAGAATTAATTTTGTCGGGCACCTTCTTGAAGTACTTTACCCTAGAGGCAGGTGTCCTTCCAGAAGGGGTAATTAGCCCTATACTATTCATTACGTAAGTGCATGACACGACATTATCTGATCCAAACTCCTACCTCTTCTCCCAGTTTGCTGATGATGTGGCTATCTGGAAGAGCTTATATACTCCAACCATAGCAGTAACGAATTTACAACCACGGTTAAATGAAATAGAAAAATACTGCAACAAAGGAAGAATCAAGATAAACGCATCTAAAACATAAATCATATTATTCACAAAATCAAAAAAACAGATCAGACAGCCCCAAAAATTATACTTTTACGGAACTCTTCTCCATGTAGCCACATCAGCCAAATTCCTGGATCTGACCTACAATTCTAAACTAAATTGGACTGAGCATATAAATGAAATTAGAAACAACATTTAGCAAAGAGCGAACTATGTATGACGTCTGACTGGCAACAACAGGGAAGCTACAACCGTAAACATACTTAAAATCAATAAAACTTACATACGTCCAAAGATAGATTATACTTGCCCAGCATGGTTAAATGTCGCCAAATCACACATACAAAAGTTACAGACAATACGAAATTCAATAATCACTAAAGCATACAGAGCTCCTAGATACACAAACACAACATTCTTACACAATTATGCAAACATCCCTGTGTTGTCAGACAGACTTCAAAATAGATCAATAGATTACTTCCGCAAAATTCTTAACAAAAATGTACCAGTAAAAACGCTGAAAAACTTAATCGTACATGATGAAAATAGCCCTAAGCATCTCCCACCATTAAATCTAGTAAACTCCTTATATAACTTATGGCTACTACTGGGCAAACCCGTATCTAGATATAGTGTTAATTTTATTTTAAAAATGATGCTTTATATGTACAAATAAGATTACTGCTGTATGTTTTACATCGGTATGTATATAACTTTTTGTGTGAATAAAACTTTATGTTGACAACGAACAAAAAAAAAAAAGAGAGATAAGTATACACCAGAAAAAACGAAAAATATACGTTGAACATTCATGAACATGGCCTGAAAAGTGCCACTCGCGTGTGCAAACGAACTATTGTAACGCGCATCCAATAGCTGCATATTGTAATAATGGGTTTTCCTAGCTAACGGGCCGAATTCTACCGAAAAATTAATATGGGCTTCATCCACGAACCAAATAAACAGCCAAGGAGGGAGGTAAAGGTCCAGGGTGTACCTGATCCTCCTAGGTCACTTGACCAAACAAAGATCAATGAAACGACGATGGGATGACTTAGGAATTTCTACACATTCTATAACTTAATATAAATGGCTATATTGGACTGTTCTTTGATCAACAAATACTTTAATTGATCCAGAAACAGGATAGTTTTTATACGAGAAGGGGGTAATATAGATTAAGTCTACGTGGATGAGAAACTTGGAAATATATATATATTGTTGCGTCAGCGAGTCACATGACTACTATGACGCAGCGCTTCTAGAACTATCATGTACTTTGGCGAATGTTCAA